GACAGGTGTTATTTTGATGCCTGTCTTGTAACTACATTAAGGTGAGCGGTACGATTATTTTAGCTTCTTAAAAGCGTTAAAAATCGACTCTGACGGTATATAAATGCTTGACAATCACTGACCAACAGCATCTGAGCATATTATTATGCATTAGGCACGAAAAACCGATCCTACTGATGTCTGATAGGTCTCCTCATACCCAGGTCATATTATTATTAAGGTTTCATCGGCAGGCCGACCGGTATTACTTGTAATGGATACGTCCATTTTCAGAAGCCTTAAAAGGTTGGAAAGGGGGAGAGGGGGGCAGAGGGAGTTGGATGGGGAAGAGAATCGATTGCTCTCGATTGTGTTCGTAGGACTTACTTAGTATGCACCAGCCTCTTTTTATACCTTATGACTTCTATACTCCTCTTTCGCTCACTTAATCTCTCTCCACCGCCCTCCCCCGTCCCCCTCCCTCATTTTTCTTTCTCTTTGATTCTCTCACTTTTCCCCCTATTTTGTCATTTTCTCCCTAACTCCCCCCCCCCAACCTTCTTCTGACTCCCAGGGGTTCATATGCTATATGAAAAAAATATAAACCAAAAAGGCCTGCAGCCAAAATTATAGACAGACGTAAAAGTAGATTATTTAATGCCGTCTTTATGGTGATGTTATTAGTAAAATGTAATTCCAATCGAGAAAATTTCTTTCCTAACGGAAATGCGCAATATAATTACGATCTTTATTATAGTCCTTATCCTTACTGTCAAGATATTAAAGAAAAGATGAACTAGGACTACCATTCAAATCAAAGCAATGGCCTTATCAAAACGTTGAGATAAGGATTTAATTTTAAAAACTTTTTTAAAAAAAGAAAAAAAAAAGAAAGGAAAAAATTGTAACAGCAACAATTCCTTCAAGTCTTCATTTACTTCTCTTCTCATCTTCACTGGACAATAATAGTTTGAATACGACTGTGGATTATTGCGGAGGTAACGAACTAAACAAGAGAGCTTTTGTATTCGTTTGCCAGTGACAATCATACAAAGACATTGTATTTTGACCTGAAATAGATGAACAGGCCGACAGACGGACTGATACACAGGCAGATATACAGGCAAACAGACCGACAGATAGACATACAGACAGACTGAGATACAGACAGATAGACAGACAGGCAGACAGACAGACAGACAAAACAGACAGACAGACAGACAGACAGAGCATATTTTTAAAAAAATGTTTCTCTATTTGTTTATCATTATTAATCAGATAGAGCCAGATTCTGTGTTGATTTGGGACGGGCGGACAAATAGACAAACAAATATAATAATACATGAAAAGCGAATGATTTTCATTACTTATTCAGGGTGGCCAGGGAAATTTTCCTCCTAAAAATCCTACCACACCACAAGAAATCCTACCAGTATAGGTCAAGTTGTTTCTTGCCACTGTCAGTGTTAGGCTCTCGTCAAAGAGAATCACGTAGAAGGAGCTATTTCGTACACATCTTAGGATAGCCGACTACATCACTGGGGCAATCCCAATTAATGTTCCAAGGTAGCCACGTTTTGTGCAACGACACTGAAATCTCAGCTATTTTTCAGCCTGAAAACATCTCATGAATGAGAAGACTCGTGTCAACAACTGCTCTA